CGTTTGCTTCGATAAATACAATAAAGACAGCAATAACAAACAGCTATGAGTTGTAAACATAGTAGAAGCAATAGAACACAGGAGTGTTTGAATATTTGTGATTTAATAAATTATATTGCTTCTAGCATGTTTACAACTCATAGCTCAGCCCCAACCATGGTGGGGCTGAGGTGGTTTAGACCTTTCATCTGTGAAATAGGCCCCCACCCCTCTATTTCAAATTTCTGTATTCGTCACTGATGACATATCATTTTCGTCGTTTAAAACACAATGGCAAAAAAATAAATTAAAACCACACGATTGGCAACCGAGATCCCCAAAAAGGGCCCCGGTTTCTCAGAACTCGCCAGGGGCCCCGACCAAAGCGTTACGCCAATTGGGGACGGTGAGTATTTATTCTTGTTCTAAATTTGCTTACATATGTGTGCCAAATGTAAGGTGGTTCAATGTTTTACACAGGTTATTTACTTTCCGTTGTATCTCCTCCATTCGTATCTCATTTATTTATTATTTCATCGTGGTGTGTTAATGATATTTTATTGATTATTTAAGGAGATAAATCGTATCGTATTGTAAGTTCTTGAATCTTGAATAGGTGATTTTTCTCAGCCCGATATCTGTGGATATAGGTCTGCTATGTTTGCTGCCCTCTATCTAAAACTAAATTTATATAATACTGTATTCTTTTTTAGAAATTTAAGCCTTATTATTTCATTAGAATTTAAGCAATTGAGGCCCGATGAACCATTTTAATTAAATCATTTTAAGTACTTTATTTTCAACTATAGTGTTACCCATTTACATCTATCTATCGATTTTGATTAATCCTCGCTGATTATCAATCGATTCATTATCAATACACAATGAACAACGATCTCCCATTGGATATCTGTTTTAGTGCGATATCTAAAGAGGATGAAGTGAACGGAATGATGAAGACTGTTCCGTAGGTCTGCAGACAGAGGGGTTAATCCATCTTTGTTCAGGATTAATTTCCAGGATTGTATGAAGAATAAGGTTAGCCTAGCATATGGTAGCAACCATAATGTAAAATTAAGAACATTTTAATAGATTGTAGCATGCAGTTGTGCCATTTATTATGTTTTGAAGTGTAGGCCTCGGAGAACGAGCGAGTCCTGTTTACGTGTGAAGTCATCTGATCTGCTGTCGTGGCCGGTGCCCTACGTCAACAAAGAACGCTGGCAAGCCTAGATAGGGCCTAGGATTTTCATTGATGCCACTAACAATTAACATTCAATTTATTTTACTTGCTATGTCTGATGGTCAATTATGTTGATGCGTTGCTCAGAATTCAGCAATAATTCTGACATTAATTAGGAAATTCTGTGCCTGTCCCCCTTGAGACTGTGTTTGTTTTATTTTGGAATTCGTTGAATGTGTTGATATATTGTTTTTGCAAATTGTTCAGTGGAATTACCAGACAGCATTATGGAGGATATATTTACACATATAATTGCTTCAGCATCAAAAAATAAAGCAGTTAGGAGTGCCTGCAACAGTGCTTGTGGTAAGTCAATTTAATATTTTGTTGATATTGAATGAAAATAATACTGTATTAAGGAACATTTTGATTGAGTGAATGTGTTTATATAGAATCTTCACCCATATTGTGGAAATGGTTGGTGCAGCGTTGGTTTGGGGATTTCATGCATATTTTGCTCAGATTGTCCTTCCTACCTTAGGTACTGAAAGGCAATTTCGGCTATCCTTTGTTGTCACTCCACCCACCCAGGAGTATGCATACCTGTGCTATACTGTGGAGGTTGCACGGCAAGGAACAGATTTAAATGATACAAAACATTCCAATTTATCCGAATGTTCAAGCAGGACACAAATATCTAAAAAAACAGGACATTATGTGGGACGCATCTCTGTAGAATTTTGGGCTGGCGATAACCCAAGAAAAGTATAATACCATTATACTACAGTATACTGACAGTACTGCGTACCCCTACAGTAGGGGTACGCACTGCGTACCCCTACAGTAGGGGTACGCAGGGTTACACACTCTCTCAAAACAAGCACAGTTGCCCCCACCCCCAAGGCGAGTCGAGTGCCTGAGAGGTAAGGTAGAGGCCTTTATCATCAATTCCTCCCACTTCACCTTTAGATGCAAAACATCACATTTTTTTCTGCTCCTCTTTTGACGTTCCATTACCAAGACAAGGGTGGCCCAGGATGTGATTTTTCGATCCCTTATCAATGTTTTGCGGGCAGAGACGGGGCATTAACTATGTAATTTGATATGTTTAGCACCTTACACTTGTCTTTGGTACTACAAGGTTAAAGATTATGATTTTATTGTGGAAGAGATTCAGTGTGATTTTTATCTTGCTTTTTAAAAATTGTAAGTGCTCATTTTGTGTTTGCCATTCAAACATTTGTCAAAAAGCAAGTGACACAGTTCTCACAAAAGTGGCATAATCTGCCAAAAATGGCACAGTTTCCCTATGCAGGTAGGATGTTTTGGGCAGATGGTGGTGGCCAGCTTTCCCCTCTCCCCACTGGGGTCACCACTGCTAAAAGAGGAGTGGAGAGCTAATTTATGTTGGACTGTACTGTCCAGTGTCAAGTATACCAGCTCATCTTTTATACTGTTTAGTAATTAGACTAACTTTTTACATGGCAGAATTATATTATATTTGACTGACAGTTTGTGGTAATGAATTGACAAACTATTTCAAAACAACTGGACTGAAGAAAGTAGACACAACCAACTCGCATTCTGACGATGCTTACGCTAAAAAATTAAGCATACCGTATATACTCGCGTATAGGACGAGGCTTAAAATAGCAAATTATGATGGAAAACGTCCGATACATACGACATACTGTACGTCTTATACGCCCAGCATACAAAAAAATTGTCCAAAAATTGGGTGTCGTCTTATATCTGGATCACCTTATATGCGAGTATATACTGTACTGGTTTTATGTACAGTAAAGAAAGTTGTTGTCTAATAATCATTTTATCATTTCAACAAATAAGTTTACCATGAAATTTAACTGTAATTGATTGTTTTTCTGTTTATTTTTTAGATACATTGGAAGCTCAGGGAAGTACAAGTGAAAAATATAAATTACGAATGATATGTCTTATACCTCTAAAGTTGGCATTGGAATCAAAAAATTCCAAATTGACCACACTGGCATTGGACGGGATTCAGGTAAAATATTGTAATTGATATAAAAGCTTGTTGTATTTTGTATGTTGTTGGAAAGTTCTATTATTAATCGATTAGATTTGTCTGTATTTATCTTTGTTATCAGGGAGTTATTGGTTAAATCTTGGAGAAATATAAATATTTTATCCAGTGGTTAAATTGGCGAGTTGATTGGCCGAGCGGTTAAGTCAGGGGCACCTTAAGCTTCAGCTATAATATCGCCGCTAGTTCAAACGGCTCATTTGCCAATGGTTCCGGTGGTGGAACAAGTCTTCTCAGATAAGGACTTTAAACCGTAGGCACAGATTACGCATTTGGCTCGTGTGCACTTTAAAGAACCCAGTACATCCTTTGAAAAGAGTGCAGAGTTTTCCCGGTGCTTTTGTAGTCCATTCAGTCCCCTGTCGTTTAATGGATATGCCACATAGGGTAGTGATTAGCGCTCATGCCTAAAGAAATGAAATGAAATAAATTGATGTCTGCTTTTCTCGTACGTACTGTAGTGTACAATACCACATGAGACCCCTACAGCAAAATATCTAGACCCAATACAAAGGCATTTTCAAGAAAGGGATTTTAAAACCCTTCCTTTAAAATCTTACAATTATTGAGGATACTCTTTGTTTAGCGATAGATGAATGTAACTGGAGATAGTAGTTTAGGTTCTTAAGCTTGGGTTCTATACAATCACTACATGCTATTGCTGACAGCTTTTGGTGATGCTGATTGGTCGGTTGAATCGAGGAGCCTTGCAGTACAACGATTGCACTGAAGACACTGTAGCGACAGTGTAGCGATTTTAGGGAAACAAGGCTTACAAACCAGGGCCGCTACATGTGAAAGCAATTTTACAGTTCGAAATCTGGATATTAAAGAGATTTCACTATGGCCAGACTCCTTGTATATCTTTACCTGCCTTAGGGAGGCTGATAAATATAGTGTTACTGTTATTATAAGGTGCATCTGCACATGTTCTGGTGTTTTTCCAAATCAAATGACTTCTCTTCCAACCCTGAAAAACAATATGAAGAGGATGATACTTGTTTTTGATACATACATTATTGAATGACTATCATAACTAGGAAATTGAATATTAAATGCATGTGGCAAAGTTATTAATCCCAACCATAATGAAATAGCTAATAAGTGTTGCTTACTGTAGTTTTTGAGCTACGTCGTTAAGACGAGCTATGTCTATACGAGCACATTTTTGTAAATTGTGTATTGTTAATGATTGTTTGTTGTTGTTTACTGTTTTTTAATCAATATTTTTGAATCCGTGTTTTCTTCCATAATTTGCACTGCGACGATACAAGCTTAAATATTCTAATACTATGTAGTTGACATAATGCTGTGTATTCGTAGATAGAGTAGTATGTATACATACAAAATCAGGTCTATTCAGAGTAGAAGCGTAAAAAAGGATGTATGTAGTCTTCTAAGTTGCCTAATAATACTAGCTTCATTGTGTTATATTGCCCGAGAGACAGACCGCAGCTCCGGGCAAGCCCCTAGTGTCTTTACTAGAACAGCATACAGTATCTCTAGGCCTAGGCCTGATCACCTCAAAGACTAAACATAATTTTAAAACATGTTATACAGTTGTTTTCAAACTATAATTATTGACCTAAATTTTTTTTTTGTTGAGACAGAAAGTTGTAGAGGAGGAAACCTTCAAATCAGATGAAGCAACTGAAGAATTGGAGCAGACAGTGTTCATGCAAGTTCTATGGTCTTTATCGGGCACTCCATCCCTCAATGAGGAAACTCAAGTGGACGTCATGAAGGTATAATATAATTGATTTCATATATTTTGCAAGTAGTGTGGCCGAGCGGTAAAGTAGGGGCGCCGCTAACTACAGCCTTAACATCGGCGCTGGTTCCAGCTGCTCCTCACCCATGGTTAAGTTGGTAGAACCAAGTCTTCTTGGATAAGGACTTAAAATGGAGGTCCAGTGTATACATCTGGCTCGTGTGCACTTTAAAGAACTCATTGCATCTATCAGAAGAGTAGGGGGTTACTCCAGTGTTATGGTTCATTTCAGCCACTGTCGTTTTGGAATGATGTGACCATGTATCTACCATGAAGCGCCTCTTTACGGTTCCTAGGTAGTCACAGACAATGCCCATGCAATTCAGCACAATGACGCTGCCAGTTTATGGGTTATTCTCCTACCTTTACCTTTACCTTCATATCAAGTTTCATACCAAATGAAGCTTGATAGTACAAACAGGGCTTGCAATAAATTTAATAATTAAAAATCTAAAACTATAGGTCATTATCACTTACACTGCATAAAGTATATTCACTCAATCAGTTGTTTGATGGATGAGAATATTAAATATTTTTGTAGGCCTACTGTACATTCAATTAAACTTGAATTAGGGTAGAATAAGAGTTAATACTATTATGTATTAGGAACCAAGACAGATACACTTAAAAAAAGAACAACTATTCTTGTTGGTTCATTTTTTTTCTTTTATTTATTTTTTAATATTTATTTTCTGTTGTTGTTTAGTTGCTAGGTTGCTTTTTAAAATATATTTTTTTTATTGTAAAATATAATAAGAGTTTAATATTAAATATTGAATGAAGTTTATAAGTGAAATGGAAACAAATATGAATTAGATACAGAGCTTCATTTTCAAGATTGTTCTATTTGATCTGTTTGTGTCCTATGATATTACATTCTCATGTTTCTTTGTAATTTACATTGTCAGTGTCCGTTAAAGCTAATTAAACCTCCATACATTGCAAACATCAAAATTGGTTAATATTAGCTCATTTACCCAATAAAAATACATTACCATGGAGATGTTCTATTTATTTCAAATTGGATGGATATAAAATTGTCACACAGTACCTTTAATAATATCCCAATGTATTGTTCAGTATTGTGTTTCTACAAGGCTTCCTGCCAAACCTTTTCCTCACACATGTATACTATTTGATGATGAGATTAATAACACTCTCATCAGCTGACAGAATTTAAATGAAGATCACCAATTTATGTAAGTTTAATCATCTACCAATTTACAGTATTTGTGCTTCTTCATAATAATATGTGTACTGTATAATGAATATATTTGCAATTCAACTCTTGTATTGTATTTATATTAATTGTACAGTATCTAACCTATTTAGTATTTCTAATGGATAACTGCTGAACCGGAGTTAGCCTTATTTTGAATTTTGGCAGTCTCTTTGGGTTGTTCTGTCTGTCTTTTATCGGTTAATTAAAAATGCTGTTTTTGTGAATCTCTTTTTCTTTTTTGATATTTTTCAGTTGCTTCCACACATTCTGTGTTTATGTGTTTATCGAAGCTAGTAAATTTACACTCTGTCTCGGTCACCAAAAGCTAGTACAGGTCATACCAGACCGGCGCGGACTGGCAAATATTTATAATTATTTTTTTCTCAAAATATTCTGTATTGAATCGTGCATTCTTTTTTTTCTGTCTTAGTTTCTTGTGACGCTGAGTTCATCAGATGCGTGTCCTTTGCACAGTGCATATGTCAACGCTTTAATTGAGGTAAGTAATTACTTGAATAGAAGGGACAGAACAGAACGAATGGTGTATACACATTGTGAATGTATTTACCAATGCTATAATTTTGTCATTGTTTATTATAATGAATCGTTCCACAGATGTAATGAATTTTGATGTGTGTAACTTGATCTGGTGTTGAACATTAGTGGTGGCTCCAAAAATTGCATCAGAGTGTCAAACAAATCTGACAGATAAGAAAAAGAAGGTTATGATGACCCAAGGCTTCTGGTTAGGTTCGTGAAATATATAATAATGGTATAATAATACCATGGAGAAATTTTATGTTTTATGAGGGTAACAAGTTCTCTTAATCTTGAAAGCTCCGATGAGGGCAGTATAACGGAGGTAGTAGATCTAAAAAAGATCTACTGTATTAATCGATCAACTATTAATCAATCAGCCTCATTTTTTCCTCATGAGGGCACCACAATATTAGGAATTATAATCCCAATGGATATGCAAATTAATATTTTTATTCAAATGACCCCAAGTGGCGTCGGACAAAAGGGGTTCATGTTTGCCTTTCCTGACCCTCACCCACCCCCTTCCTGATGGTGCTGTCACTGGGCAGGCGATTCACTAGTATATCAAGTCTGTCGTATAACTGGTAGAATAACATGTCATAGGCCAATAGGATCATTTCAGATCAATTTTCATGAAACATAAGGTTAAACAAATTGTAAAATTCACAGTTACTTTAATACAAAATGTTGCAAAAACTTGCATAATAATTTTCCTAGCATTGAACAGATTTTTTTTTTTTTCATAATATTTAAGGTATTGTTTGTTGGAAAACCAATATGAATTTGGGCTACAATTAGTAGAAGTTTTATGTTTCAATCAATACATACACTTATAATGCCATATGATATTTAATGAGCTACTTTATAACTACTCAGTGATGATGAATGCCTTATAAAATAGGACATGCTGGTTGCTAAGCTTGTGTCAACGACCCTGTGTTGAGCATTCTATTTTAAAAGTAATTTCTTTAGACTTGTTGACAAGATGTGTTCTGTGATCTATAATTAGTAAATGTTGGGAGCTAACCAACTGATCAGCTGTTACTGAATGGTTCACCTTCAATAAGTAATAATAAATTAATAGGTAGTGATGGTGATGGCAATGCATTCTGGAATATTTAATGTTTGAGTACTCATAATAAGGATTTATATTATTATATTTGATAATAATGACAAAAATCAAATAACATGTGACTTGAATTATTACTTTTTTTTTAAAAATAATAAAATGGATTGTAAAGTATGGATAAGCAGGGAGTTGTTTATAGGGGATAAGAAATGATGTTGATAATTATGATGATGATTATGATGACAATGACTAGAGGCAGAGAATGATACTCTAATACAATAATAATATTAATAATAATAATAATAATAATAATAATAGTAATTGTTATTGTCGTGATGGAATAATAGACAATAACTGGATTTGTGTCAGGAGAAACATGTATAGGTGTAATTTTGACCTACCTGACGTGGAAATGTTTTCAAATGTACTGAGTATTCGGTACATTTCCACGTCAGGTAGGGCAAAATTACACCTATAATAATAATAATAATA